AGCTTATTTTGTTGAACTAATAGTCACATGGGACAGTACTAGCCCATGAGTTCAGTCAAAGAAAATAAGGTGTGAGGAAATAAGGTGGAATTGAGAGTGAGATATTGTAGTTTGATATATATATATATATATATATAACCATGTGACAATTGTGAATGTTATGATTTTAATAATTGTTCCACTTGACACCTCTCAAGCACTTACTTGTATGCCTAATGAGTATGATTATTGGTTACTGAGGCTTTTGTCTCACTCCGTGGTTTAACATTTTCAGATAAGTCTTCCTAATGCCATTTTTTTCCACACGTCTCCCAAATTTTCCACTTCAATTTCAACTTTCCACCAAAAGTTGGTGGAAAGTTGACTCTATTATTTTTTTTTATTTTTTTAAATATTAGGATATTACAATAATTCCACATATATCAATATATTTAAATATTAATTATAATCAATAGCAATAAATCTTAAAATCTAATAACATATCAAACATTTATTTGGAAAAAAATCATATTATATTTCAGTAATATAAAAATTAGTAAATTCACAATATAATCATACACAATTCACATGTACAAGAAAGAATTTTTAGAGTTATGTGGTATTTTTTAGTTTACAAATAATCACACAAAGATTACTCCAAAATTCTCAAGAGTCTACAAAATTACACATAAATATTTATTAATATAAACTTAGAACTACTCCAAACTGCTCTAAAATTCTAAGAATACCCTCTAAACTAAAATTATATAAATATATTAACTCTTTCAAATTTTGCTATTTATAGTAAATATAATATTATTTTGACAATAAAATTTTCATATAAAACTATTTAAATTTAATAACTTAATTCAATATATCTTTATTACCCAATATATATAAATATTTTATGTTGAAATTCTCAATTATTTATTATAATCTCATGTAAAAATTTTTCTCAAACCAAACTATAATATCCTAATATTAAAAAAAAAATAGAGTCAACTTTCTACCAATTTTCGGTGGAAAGTTGAAATTGAAGTGGAAAATTTGGGAGACGTGTGGAAAAAAATGGCATTAGGAAGACTTAGGGGGAGAGAAGGAAGACTTAGGGGATGAAGAGTTAATGCAAGGAGGAAAATTTGCAACGGGTGGTTGGAATTACAGAATAAAAGGGAGAGAGGACGCAGAAGTTGAGTCGTATGCGGGAGAAAGAGAGAGAACGAGAATAAGAGAAAGAGAGAACGAGAGAGAAGCAGAGAAGTTCTGGCATTTTGAAGGGTAATACAAGTTTTGGAGATCATCTAGGTACACAAATATTGTTCTTTTTATCAAACTTTCTTCATGAATATTTCTTATATATTTTAGGTTTCCTAATGATAGCATTACTAAAGTGCTTAGAGAAAATTTTGAGACTTATATATGATATAAATATGGAGTTTTGGTAAAAGATGATTATAGAAATTTAGAGGTAAATGAGTTGTTAATTTTTTTTTGGTTGACAATGGGTTGTTAATTTTAATAAGTTAGATTTGTCCATTTGTTGGTTTTTAATATTTAAATTAATTTTTCTAGTTAAAAAATCTGTTATATATGATTTATATTATATTTTTGTCGATTAAATTCAAGTAAAGCAATTTATTTGGGTTGTTTGATATATTATTAAGATTTTAATCGGTCTAGTTTTATTTATTGTGTGACTGAAGGTTTTTAAAATAATTATTGTAGCTAAAAATTTTATTATTTATGGAAATATATATATGTATATGGTAGTTATACCATTAAATTTTTTATTAGATTATTTATTTATAAATATTTGAAGTATTAATGAATTTTTGAAAGCTTGATTTTGAAGGTTTAAACTGAAGATAGGATTTTTAGAATTTAGAACATAATAATTTTATATTTAGAAATTTTGAAAAATTATTTTTATTAAAGAAAATAAGTTGGAGGATGTAAATAAATAATTTGGCTTGTTAGAAAATTTTAAGTTATTTCTAAAATACTTAATAATTTTTGGGTTAAAAGAGTTGCAGGAATTTAGAATAAAAATTTAATTAAATTAGAAATTTAAATGATATAGAGAAGTTTAATTAATTAATTAATTAATTTATATTAATATGTGGTTATATTAATTGTGTAGATTAATTATTGGCTGAGCAAAGGATTGACCTTGTGGTAATCATTAGTATTGCTTTGGCGAGAGGTAATCACTTTCCACTTGTTATGTATGTTAATATGTTATTTGTGAGTATTTTGTTATTTTAGAATAATGATGTGTTATTTGGAATTTGAATAGATGTCTTATACCTTTTGAGCTATGAAAATTGTCTTTTCGGGATTTTTGGAATTGTGATTGAGAAGTTTGAAAAAATATATGATTTATATCTTATGAATTATACTGAAAAAAGATTGAGATATTTTTATTATATTGTGAATGATTGGTTATTATTTGGATTTTGGATTGAGTCATATCCTACCACGTGGTAAGGCCGTTATTGGTGCACATTGGTTGGCTTCTTCCTTCGTCCCCCATAGTGAGGGATAGGCTTTTGTGGCTTCTTATTCGTCCCCCAGAGTGAGGGATAGGCCTATATGTCTGATTAATCCCTCATAGTGAGGGATAGACTTATATGGCTTGTGTGTTAACCTCCATAATGAGAGTTTGGATGATTGAAATTAAATATATATATGTTTTCGAGAATTAATAACTGTCCTACTTGACACCTCACGAGCACGTGTTAGTGTGTATGATGAGTTGGAAAGTTGGTTACTAAGGCGTTTGTCTCACCCCGTGGTTTTTACTATCTGCAGGTGATAGTTCAGGTGGTGGCCTATCAGGGAAGGCTCCAGAGGCATAGCGTACTGTTATAACTTGTATAACCTCCCGACTTTTGTTTTATGTGCTGATTTGGTATATATTGCCACATATGGCCCATGTACTCTAATGTTGTAAACTAATACTTTTAATTACTACTATCTGACGTGGGGATTGTTGGAAGGCCAGAGATATTTAAGACTTTGCGTATTATGCTCTTTTGACAGTATTGACTTTTAATTAATGGGCTCCATGACTTATATTAAAATGATTTATCAGTTCGTATGTTTGAAAGTATAAGTTTTGTTTGAGCTAACGGTTGAATGATATTTCTGGACTTTAGAAATCTAAAGCCCAAGTTAACGATCGATGTTGCTCATAATATAAGTTTATTTCTTTTAACCATAATAGCGATTTTAAAATTTTAATGTTTCTCCTTTTCTATCATAATTAATCATTCAAATAAATTGTTGGATTTAGTGTAAAAATGGTTTTGGAAAGAACGGTTGTCACACGAACAACTTCTTTAAATTATAAACAAGTTGTAACTTTATCTAATTTCACAGAATTCTCAATTTATAATTTTGCAAGCCTTCAAAAATTATTTCAAAAATATATATTTAACTTATTCAATATTTAAACTGATTAAAACCTCAATAATATATTAAATAACTCAAATAAATTATTTAACTTAAATTTAATTGGTAAAAATATTCTATATTTTCGAATAACAAATTTTTCAACTAAAATCTTAATTTAAAATTCCCAAAATAGTCATTAACTAAATATAGATTGATTAAAATTCCTTAATAATATATTTTTAAATTTTTACGGTAATACATTATCAAAACTCCATATTTACTCTATACTCAAACAGCAAAATTTTCTCTAAACATTATAATGATACTAATAATACAAAGTTATAAATATATAGAAAACATTCATAGTGAAAATTTGATAAGAAGAAATAGTTTGGGGAAATTGCAAAAAAAGACCTTGGAATTGCAAAAACGCAGATAGGGACTATTGACAACTTTACTTTGGGTTTTGACAACTTCATGGCATATTATTATTGTCAAAACCCAAAGTGAAGTTGTCAATGGTCCCTATCTACGTTTTTGCAATTCCAAGGTCTTTTTTTGTAATTTTTCCAAATAGTTTTGTGTACCTAAATGATTTCTAAAACTGTCAGATACTTTACAACTCAGCTCTCTCTCTCTCTTCCTCTCTACTTCTCACTCTCTTTTCTCTTCTCTCGCTCTCTCTTCCTCTTCCGTCTCCTCTCCTCCTTTTTTATCCTATTATCCTCGCTATCTAACTATCCCATATCCTATTTTTTCCTTCTTCCATTTAATGCTAGTCCCGTATTTCTTCCTTCAATTAATACTTGCTCCCCTTGTGTTCTTTTTTCTCGACTAACTGCCCAACCTTTCCATCGAAGTCGGTGGAATGCTGGTTTTTTTGTTTTGTTTTTAATATAATAAAATATTATTTAACTTAATTTAATGCTCTTTTTCCTTTTTTTTCAAAAAAATTTTTTTTAGTACGTTACAGTAGTTCTCTTTGGACAGGGTGTCTAAGTTTGAAGTTATCCATGATGATCACTTTCAATTTATGAGAGTACATCTGTGTGTGCTTTTCAAAATATTTTAACTCATTAATCATTTTGTTTCTATTAATTGTAGTTATCTCCAATAATGAGCCTTATTTTTTGAAAAAAAATAAGAAATACCCTTTATCTGCAAATATTTTAAATTAAGAAAAATGAACAAAATTATATAACTTCTCTTATCCCGAAAATCATGGCATATACACTGGCCATGATATGTGTTCAAAATTTGAAATTTGTATTAATTTGATAGCATTATTTAAAATTAATTATGCTTGAAATTTGTAAGGATTTGTTCTTCAAGTCTGTGTACAAAGATTCTAGTAAAGACATGTTTACTATTCCTGTTTCTTGGAAATTTTTAATGATTATAATGAAAAATTAGCAGAATATTATTTCATTTTATCTCATCAAATTACTTTTAAACACAACTGCCGCCACGACATCGTTTAAACGGATCTGAATCAATTTCCAGCCCCAGGTCACACAGTGCCTTCGAGTCTTGACTATTTTAAGTTTTAACTCAAAAATCGCCACACACGCTCCCGCCAAAGAGAAACTAAATTAGTTTGTTTTGAAAAAAAAAAAAAAAGGTTTAAAAAAAACCCGGCCTACGATATCTTCATCTCCGCCGTGCTGGAGGAAGAAGCCGAACCCCTGCTTCCTACTCAGATACGAATCGGCGGGTGGATGCGTATGCGCTGGCGCCAGTCATTCCATCTGTGGCGACCCATTCTGACGTCGGCAAGGAATTCGACGGTCGTTCCTTGGGAGATTTCTGTTGCCAAAACCTAGGGCTTGAAAGGAAAACCGACAATTTTCTGAGAAAATGGATGATTCATCGAGAAAAATTGACTTAGACAAGTTATTTTCCTACAGCGACGACCTCATTAAAGTACTGAAGGACAAACGGGACATCAACTGCTTGACGCAGTATCTAGAACAGTCAAATTCCCTTTCTTCATCCTGCAACGCTGACTTCAACGAGGTTCGATCATTGCTTGAAGGTCATTTCTTGCTCTTTCTCTGCTTCTAACTCCGTCCTTTGTAGCTGAATTAACCCTTACTAAGAAGGGAGTTCTGGGTCTTTATTTTATATATATATATATATATATATATATATATATATTTTAATTCCTTGAAACTTCTCTTGTATAACTAGTTTGTGGAAAGCTATTGATTTTCCCAAACAAAATAAATCAGAATCTTGAAGTAAAACATATAATGATGAAGTTCGAATTTTTAAAAGCTTTCTTCTTGTACTACTAAAAACCATTTTCTCCCATCATTATAAGCTATAATGTTACTGTATGTATATGATTTGGTAGCAATCATACGCACATTGCAAATTTTGCGACTTACCTGTTTTGCTTTAAATCGGGTGGATGATTTCGCTTGTAAATTTTATGTTGTAGAAGGATGTCTTTTTTAGGAATCAGAACCATCTGAGTTTCTATCCTTGCGGCTAATGCATTAATCGGGCGTTAAAATTTATTGTCAGATGGGAATGTTGAGACATCAATGAATTCGGGGCTTGGGGTTGGTATTTATGTATGTGACAACTGAGCCTGTGGTACTTTTCTTATTTGATATGCTTCAAGTTGTGATGAAGGTTTTGTTCTCCAATATCAGCTCAAAGTCTTTGTCAACATTTGTCAAACTTGTATGAGATTGTTAATCATTAAGAATGTGAAAAATGTAAGAGATACCTTAATATCGAGGGAGGGATTGTCGAAGGAATCTCTGTGTATGGGCTTTCTCACAGCCTTTCCATGTCTTTCTTGATCAATCCGTTTCAATCTCCTTGCTAATTTTGGTGAGTATTTCTGGCTGGTCCCCCCACCCCCCCCCCCCCCAAAAAAAACCAAAAAAAAAGAAGAAGAATTCAATAACTTCAGCCATTTTTCTCTAAAGTATCTCCCCTTGGTAAAGTAGAGACAAATAAGAAGAGAATGATGGGTTTTACCTTTGCGCATGTGAACCCAACAAGTGTGGAACCTGCTACTTTATTCCTATCTCTCTCGACTTCACACCATAAAGTATCTCTTAGTTGCTGCTTGCTCAGATATGATAACCAGATAAAGAGGGTGAATTTCTCATAGAATTGACAAGCAGACCAATTGCCTCGAACTGGGAAGATGAATCTTGAATTTCCCTTACCTGTATCCTAGTGACTGTATGGATGCATTCATAGCATGAGAAACAATCTATTTATCTACTGTTGCGATTTCCCAGGCTCCTCTGAACGTTAGGAGTGTACTATTTCATTAAGAGTGTAAAACATGGAGTATTCTTAAGATTTCCCAATTCCTGACTAGCTGCTCTTTTTTCTTTTATTCCTTACTTTTCAATTGAAACAAGCTGTGTGTGATTCTTGCTGAAGCTAGGTATTTGAGTTGCATGTTGCTCTGTCTGGGTTCTCTGTATCACCTTTTTCTGTCATACAGCTATCTTATATAACATTGAATGGTGATGGGGGGAGTAAAACGTTGGTCTTGGATTTGATAGAGCAAGCTTGTGATTCTAATGGAATTGGGCGTGGCATGCTGCATATCATCTTCTAAGGGTGTGTTTGGATGAAACCAAACCATGGTTTGGAGAATAGCTTCTGGAGAATAGATTCTGAAAAAAATAAATTTTGAGAAGAATAGATTTTGTGAAAAAGTGATTTTGAGAAGTGTGAGTGTTTGGATAGTTGTTATTAGAAGTACTTTTTATATATACAAATTGGCATAAATTAATATGATAATTATAGAAAAAATATATTTTATGATATATTTTAATTTGAAAGAATAAAATTGTTAATAATATATTTTTTATTAACATATATTAATAATATATAAGATAATATAATTAATAAATAATTAATATGTATATATATTTATAAGATATAAGATTAAATATGTTTATAAAAAATATGTTTATAAAAAAAATAACAAGATACATATCCTATAGGTTCTCACACTCTCCCGTTTTTCTCCAAAAGTAAAAAATTTCTACTTTTTCCAAAACCATGGTTTTGAACCCAAACCATGGTTTTGATTTTTTTAAGGGTGTTTGGCTAACATTTTTCCCAAACCATGGTTTGGGGTGCTTGCCAAACACACCCTAAAACTGCTACACTTCAAATTTTACTAGTTTGGAAGTATTTCAACTTCACTGGTTCACTTTTTATGTTATGTACTATGAGTGGATCTTCTTGATTAAATGTCTTGCATCTGACTAGTTCTTTTATCATACGTGAATCAGATTACCAGAAGAAAATAGACGAATGCAAACAGAAAACGGCACAAGCTAGATCTGAGGTTGTTGCAGATGCAGAACTGGACCTTCTACAGAAAGAATTAGAGGAAGAACTTGAAAAAGAACGCACACTTGGAGCGGAGCTTAGATAAGTCTCTAGTTTGTTTACAACTTTTCAATGACATGCTCTCTTTTTATTATCAATCACCTGCAATGGTATTTCTAACCTGCTCTTTGTGTCATCACAGCCTGCAGCATCGAATTTAATGATCTTGAACAGAAAAGGATTTCAATCCTAGAGAGAAAGAAAAAGTTACAGAAACTTGAGCAAGATGAGCTAAAGACACAGTAAGTGCATTACCAAACCTCAACCCATCTGAGAGTGAATCATGCACATATGCATCCTGAATTAGAATAGTGAAGTCAGTTAATTTCGAGGAGAAAGTGGTGACAATATTTTTTTTTAGTTTTGCATTTCCCGAACATGTGGCTGCCTTATCTTTGTTAAGTTAATCTATTTATCCTTGAATACCTTGCTTATTCCAAAATTTAGCTATTTATGATTTTTTTTTTTTTTTTGGGTTAAAGTTTAATGTTGAGACGGACTTGGCATTACCAATGGTCATAATTTGCTTAATATCAGAGAACCAGAATATGACAGCAGATTGGACTCATCCTCGTTTAGGAACGCTGCTTTCTTTACAAAGGCTACAGAAGAAAAACGTTATAGAAAGGAGAGCAAATTCAGAAACTTTTTGCATCTGGAACTAGACAATATATCTTTCATATTACCAAGTCAACCTCATTTTAAGAACTTTTTATTTCTTTTTTGGGGAAGTAAGTCATTGCTTGTGTGTGAGCTATGTTATTTTGAGAAATTTGTGAAAGAAATTTTATTTTTTCCTGACTCAACCATTGCTGGTGATCTTTATGTTTGGGCATAATTATCTGCCTGCATGACAGCGTGAGTAAAGTTTTAGATGGATTCTGTACCCATCAGAACTTAATCTATTCTTCTGTTCTTTTGCAGGATGATGCTTTCAATGTATGCTTCTGTCACAAATATTATCCCCAATTTGGATGACCAGTCCAAAATTTCAGGCTGTATCCTTCTGTTGGCTCTGTTACTTTCATTGTTTTATCAATGTTTGTTTCTTACTTTTTCAGGTTTTTTCTTAGATGATATTATCTCTTCATCCAAAAACTGTGAATTTCCTAAACCTTGCATGCAGATATTGTGGAAAAGGATAAAAACTTAGTAGAGAAGTTTGAATATGACCCCTCAAAGATGACTGCCCTTGATGTGTGTAATGAGATCTGGAAAATTGTAGGTTCGTAGTAATTATCAGGCATGCTTCTTTTAGATGATGTTTGTAACAATATATTAGCTAGTGTCTCTACGAATCTTGCAATTTCATTTATTTAATGTTGTGAGTTTTTGGACGTGTCGATTTATTATGAAGGAATGACAATCTTGGGATGGCGTGTTGATTGGTTGCTTTTGCTTGTTAAAATGGGTATGTTGAGAATTATTGATTGGCCTAGCAATTTTGCAGAACACCTGAGTACGTTGAGTAAAAAATCAGGACTGGGTTTTTTAACCTTAGTTTTATTCGTATCTAGATATTATTAAGATGAATATGGGAGAGATGCCGGCATGTGAGACATAACTATTAATTAAATATCTAAACTAAAATTATATAAAACCAATAATTAATTGCATAACATTGGATCAAATTTTAGCATGCATCAACGACATGAAGTGAAACTGAGAGTAATTCTGGTACTGTTTTAACTTGCTTGGAGCCTATAATTGCTCAGTTATATCCTTTTCTTTTTAATTAGTAAACTTGCTGCTATATAGATGGGAACTTGATAGGCCCGTACTAATATGGAAGGCTTGAACTGAGTTGGTGGGAAATATTTTTCATGCAATTTACTTAAGTTCTTAAACATCTAACCTGATTAGACAAATGCTGATGTGTTGGCATAGTGGATCCTTATAATGATCCTTTCTTTTCTCAATCTTCTATTTTGTTTCTATTTAATTTAAAGAGATTTGACATAAATATCAATAAATTCGATTTCTTACCATTTGTGTTACGGAAATGAAGTAGTTTCATTTTATATATGCTGTAAAGAGCTTTATCTAATTCAAAAGAACTATTATTTAATAGAAAATGTAATATACTCTTAAAACTGAATTTTTAATTAAAAAAGAGGTTATAACCAAAGTATATTAGCACTCCCCGGGGGAGAGCATGTCACCTTAGGTTAAAGGGTGAATGTTATTTATATTTATCACCATTGTTTTTGTTTGTTTTAATTTGTTTGGAGGGTGTCTAAAAATAAGAAGTTCATATATTGGAACATGCTTTTAAGCTGGTTTGTTTTTCATATTTTTTTTTCTCGTAGGAAATAATTTTATACCTAATATTATTAACTAATCTAAATTTAACTTACCAACTAATTCAAATTCAAGCTAAAAGTACTTTAATAAGGAACTTTTGCAACATGATTTTCTTCATTCAAAAAATTTGAACTTGAATTATTCTTAAAAAATGTAACTTAATTAGTTGTTCTCTTATCACTTTATCCAACTGTTAATATTACCAAACCATATCTGCTTTTTGTTTGCATATCAATAACAAGCTTTCGAAACACTAAACTAGCATTCTTCCGGTCTTAAATATAAGATTCAATTTGTAGTGTAAATTATATTATAAAATGAATTTTATATTTAGGACAAAAGGAGTATCAATTTTAAGTTTATATATGAATAACAAGCTTTTAAAACACTAACCATTTTAATGATTCTCCAATTGAAAAAATTATATCAAACCCCACACTGCCACAGCCAAGGAATATAAAAAATAATTGAAAAATATTGGATGCCTTGCTTCAAATCTGTTTATTCATTTCATAGTTCCGTGCATGGCTTTTTGAAAAGTTAAAATAAATGTATTTACTAGAAAAAACAAAGGACACATAACGTTACATTGAAGAGAAAGATAAGACATCTTGTGAATAAAAAGATGAATAGATTTACATAGAAAGCTTCATCATACTATCAAAATGGCAAGTGACCATACGAACAAAAATGAAGGAGGAAGAAGTTAATAAGATGTAATAAATATAGAGATTGATCATACGATCAAAATGGCAAATAATGGGAGGAAGTTGATGTTGATGTTTACTAAAAACCAATGCAACAACAAAAGCTTTCTGACGTACACACTACACACCAACTTGTAGGTCCCATAAGTCAATGACCATCTGACTTCTCTTGGCTCAATTCCAAATAATTATTGCTTTGCATATGAACTAATCAAATAAAAATCAAAATAAGTGAAATCAACTTTTCGTTGAATTAAAATTGGATTCAATCAAAAGTCAATTAGACAGATAAGACTCCTCATTACCGTAGGTGAAGAGCGATCAAGAATACAAAAAAGTAAAGAAAGTTTTCAAATTGTGAGCTGATTTCACCAGTCCATCAGCGTAATGAAATATACAAATGAAAATAAGCATACGATGCGTCACATTGCTTAAGAGAAATGTCAGAAGCATTATTCACCTAAAAATTAAATTTTTATATATATGTTGATAACAATCAAGTTGCATTGATTAATGTACCTAAAGTTTTCTATACCTGTTAACATTAAATACTCTCCTGTTTTTCCATTCTTTTTTTTTTCCTTCCAAAGAGTAACATATATTTGAAGAGATTCCTATACCATATATTCATTGACATCCTTATATCAAACTCTTTCTGATAGAAAACTGAAAATTCTTCAAAGTTCTGGAAATTCAAAGATGTTTTGTCCTAAACCAGCATTCATCATCATGATGGCAGTTTTGCCTCTCTTCTTCTTCTTCTTCTTTGTGTTTGCATCTGCAGGCTCTTCTTCTTCTTCTTCCACTTCACATGTTAAAGGAGTTGAGATTACAGAGTTTGCTTCTCCTGACCAGAGAGTGAATCTATCAGTGTACTTTGAAAGCTTAAATGAGCCTGGTGCAACTTTCATAATCAAGAACCTTGTGGAAATCTTCAACAAAGATCTCATCAACATTGTGAATCTCCAACTTGTTCCTTGGGCCAATGCTTCCATCAGCAACACCAACAATACCATCTTATGTCAGGTTCTTTTCTATTTCTCTCTATATATAATCTCTGCCCTAAATTCTTGCTCTGGTTTAAACCCATATTTCTTTCTCTTTATCCCTTCAAAAACTTGCTTCTTCACACATAAGTTTGGTTGCTTTTGAAGGCTTATGGGTATGGGCGAGGGCAAAAGGGGGAAAAGTTTATTGCTTTCTGCTGATATTGAATCTGCTGATCAAGTTCCTGTCAGTTGTTTCTTACATTAACATTCATACTCCTTAAAATTACTCAATAATGTGGGAGTGTTTTTTATCTATTACTGTTTTTGGATAAAAGTAAGTTTATATAATATTGGGAAAATCGAGCTATCACTTTAGAAAATATAAATAGGAATTTCAAGCAGCTTTCCTGCCTATTGTCTTTGGGGAAAGTTTGTATTTTTTGGGGAAGTAATTAGCTATCTATTTTTTAAGTTTTGAGTTTTAAAGTTTCATTTTTCCTTGATTGTGACTCACCTACTACTAATCAGTTTTATGTTATTTCTATCCTGAAAATTCATCTTGCTTTAGATGGGATTTCTTAATAATGTTCTTTTCCACTTAAATTGGAGAAAAAGGATTAGACAGTTATTTTAGTTTCTATTAGCTAATAACATCAAGGTCAATGAACTTTTGGGGGAAAAAAACTGTAATCAAACCACATTATTAGAAATGCATGATAGATTTCCAGCTCAAAGTAACCCACATGATCACTAGGCACTAGGCAGAGTACAAAACATGAGTTTTGACACTATAATCCCATTTAGCACTGATTCATTTCTTTATTTTAGGTTCAGATCAAAATTTCATCAAACTCTTCATTTCATTTAAATCCCATCTACTGCACAAAGTCTATAGAATAAATCTAGTTAGTTTGCTTCACAAAACATTTTCAATATATACAACTTTCAATGGACAATACTGTTGTAACTATTACTGGTTTGGCCTCCATGACGATTAACTTAGTTCTAGAAAACATGGCAGAATGGACCAGATGAATGTCTCCTAAATTCTCTGGAAGCCTGCGTCTTGAATGTTTCACATGATGTGGTAAGTGTGTGAGAATTAACGAGAAGACAATTAATCTCTATGCACACACACACACACACTCACACACTTGAGATCCATGCTTAATTATAGCATCTAAACAATAAAGTATTGCAGAACATACAGTATGCATTGATATTCTGCTTTGAGTTTTTGGCACTTGAAGGCAAGCACAAGAAGTGGCAGAGCTGTTTCAACCAGTTGGGTTTGCCTAAGCAGCCTTTTCTTCACTGCTTTAATGCTGGCTACGGAACTCAGGTCCATTTTATGTTCTTCTCTCTCTCCCTCTCTTGTGGCTGCTTGATTTCGCTATATATGTTCCAACCAATTGCATTTGACGTGCTATATGTATTTGTGTGTGTGTGTGTGCAGCTTGGAAGACTTTATGTAAGTCAAGTTGCTAGGCTCTCTCCACGGTTTACATTTCTACCATGGGTGCTGGTCAACGATAAACCTCTTGAAAAGGTTCGTTCTGATTAAGAAACATGTTTTTCATCAGATATGAAACTCTTGGATTCTAGCAGAGATACTACTCATCAGGATTCCTTTTAATTTGTTGGTTTTGGTGAATGAGGAATGGATGCAGGACTATGAGAATTTCGTGAGCTATGTTTGCAAGGCTTATAAAGGCCCTTTGGTACCTCCAGCCTGCCACCGTGTTTAGCAACCAGCAGAATACCAGAAAACTGAGCATCTTCATTTAATTCTCACCATCAGTATACAAAAAACGTCTATATGAGCCTATGTTTATATGTTTTCTGTCATAAAATCTGGATTGAAGCATAACAGGTAAGAGCCATGTCTCAATATACTTTAAGCCTAAAACTTAGTATTCAAATTACCTTAAAAGGGTGGAACATTTTATGGGTAGTGTATTGTTCCTGATTGTTCGCTATTACATCTGCGTTTGTATGGGCAATGAGATTTGGATTTACCTTAAATGGGTCCCTCCTTCTACGCCCAAGTTGAGTTTGTTAGCAGGCTTATTAATGCGGGCTCCTTATGCTGTTTGTGTTGTGTGGGTTTGGCCCAAGTTGACGTAGTCCAGTACGTAGTTTGAGCTTTAATGTAATCGTTTTTGTCACAAAAAAAAACAAGAATTGAAAATCTTTTTCTATACAATCAATTGTAAACACCTTAAAAACACAGCGAATTAGGCTTAGTGGAAAGCGTAACGACCTTAAATTTAAATTTTTATTAAGAGAGATACTTATATTTAATATCTTATACTGTTTCAAGTGAAATTGCTTTCAATAAAATAATGCATGTGCTTAGTAAAAAAACAAAAAAAAAACATCATCCTCAGTCTTTAATATAAGAGCTAATTAACTAATTTTAATAGACTAAAAATATTAGTTAAGTTATTTATTTGTAATAATTAGGTATTGCCTTCTTTAAAATGTTTTTACGAATCATGTGTATTAGTTAGAACCACCAAATATGTATAACTATTATAGGAACTATCTTAAAAATAAATGAATAAATATGAGAAGTAAAGTAATTGATTTTATATTTAGGATCAAATTAAATATCAAATTGTTTTTTATATAAAATACGGGAGATAGTTAAAAAAGAACCATGTGAACATCGGATCTATACCTAAGACATAATCCAAGTGTGGCTGATAATATTACTACGAGGACGTCTTGTTAAGACGAATTATAACTGTTCAAAAGGAGACATTGGATTAGGTTTGATATGCAAAATTTAATACTCCTCCGGTCCTTAATATAGGATCCAATTCTTGAGTTGTTTTTGGTCCTAAATATAAAACTTATTTCTCATATTTTCATTTTTCTTTAAATTACCCCTATGGATACTCCCTCAATCATAATCGAGTAAAAGAGGGAGAGAGGGTATTAAGAAAGATGATTATGGTATTTTAGGAAAAATGTGTCACTTTTTTTTATAATTAACTAACTTACTTAACTTTCTTAATCTAATTAAATTAATTAAATAGGTCTTATATTAAAGATCAGAAGAGTATTACGTAGTTGTTAAATAAATAAATAGAGGGGAGCAATAAGGAAAAGAGAGCAGGGTGGCTACGAAATCCGAAGGCCGTCGCGTCTTTATCCCCACCGACTCTGTGTGGGGGCTCGTGGGCATCCCCCGCGCCGCACGTAGCCCTTAAATACATCTCATAAACCTTTTTTTTTTACAACATAATTGACGGAGCATTAGGCAAGATCACGGCACGAAATTGTAAGAGGAATATTAATTTCTACATATATATATATCCGGAACCAGCCCTCTTCTTAGTTTTCTTCACCCTTTTAAGACCTGGTGGACATATTCAATAAAAATCAAACTTTTCCAGAAAGCTCCATCAAGATGGAAAGCTCTGTAAGAGAAGGCGAAGGCATGCTTCCTCCATTGAATCCCATGGCAGGACAAGAAGAAGAAGAAGAGAAATATAGGTTTGACTCAAATCGAAAAACCAAAGAGGAGATAGTGATAGAAGAGCGAGAAGAAGGTAAAGGCGGTGGAGGCCTTATTAGGAACTTGATGTCCACCATGGCCACACCTCTGGGAACGAGAACAGGGGAAGCCGAAACAGAGGACGACGCCAGAAATGATATCCCGAAGAAGGAAGGTGAAGAAGATGGCGATATCGGGGTAGAAGAAGGAGGGATCTTGAATAATATAATCTCCAATTTGTTTCATCAAAATGGAGATCAACAAGGTAAGAAAATGGAAGATGATGATGAAGAGAAGAACAAGCAAGTGAAAACAGAGGAGGACACTAATGGCGGCGTCATTGAGAACATCGTCTCCCACTTGCCTCCTTCGATCCCAGGTACATATTTTAACCACTATTTTGTTTAATTTCTTCCAAATATATAAAGAACTGAATTAGACTCTGTTTCAATGGCTTATATATAATTAGAACTTGGATGATATGTGTGTATGTCAGATGATGCGGTTCCCACGGCTGACGAGGCTGCCATTCTAATAAACTCTCTTGTTCGTGATTAAGGCCTAATGGAAGCTTTATTTCACTTCAGAACCACAAACCTTCATTTATTTGACTTTTTTAATTTCCTTATTATATTTTGCCTTTCCAATTATCATATTGTAATTATTGTTACTGTAATTTTTCTCCCTTTTGGTTTTGGACTTGTAATTATTCTTTCCACAGGGATGTCAAAAACAGCTCCGTCTTGTCATGTGCATGACTCCTAGCTAACAATGGTCCAGCATTTTTTTTTTTGGGGTAGATTCGATGGCGAAAATATTGACAACGATTTAAGACAAATCAAATTATGATTTTAAAATTGATTTTACTGTATACAAAGTAAATATATAGAGAAGTATATTTCGATTTGCAAAAAAATTACTATTAAAAACACTTTTGATGTTTAGTAGCACACAACCAAACACATAAATATATTTTTAGACCTCTAATTTGCCTTCCAAAAGGAGGAACAACAGCTATTTATAAGTTTTGACATTAAACTCAGTTTTCGATATATGGATAAGATACGCAGTTTTCATTAAGTTTTGACAGAACAACATATATTTATAATCAAATGTCACTAATATTAAGCAATTATACATTTTCATCAAAAAATGTATATTGTACAAATGTAAAAAATAATAGTGGATATGCATCAAGTTGAGATAAGGTTGAAGTTGACATATGCATTAATAATTAGACAAGGTAGTTAAAAAGGGTTTAAATATTAGGTGACATGTTCGGTCAAAAAAAAAAAAAATATTAGGTGACATGGACATTAGGTCTGGACTAGATAGATTTGAACTCTTAATTTGAATGCAAGAAGAAAATTAAAACAAACTTTGGCACGAGCCAATTTAGGTGATAAACTATTTTTATGAAAATACATAATATCATATTATAATTTTATATTATTTAATTATTATCATTTAAAATATGGAAAAAACTATTTTGGAGGCACCCATTTTTTTCCCAATTTTCAATTTGGTACTTATGTAATTTTTTTCTCTTAATTAAATCTTTAATCTTGTTTTATTAACATCGTTAATCTTTGCGTAGAAACTAAAAATACTACTAATACAACAAAGTTACAAAAACTAATGTTATTAAAAAAATAAAATTAAATAATTTAATTAAGAGAAAAAATAAATAGATGTCAAAATAAAAATCGAGAGAAAGTATATATACTTTCAATATGTTTTTTTTATATTTGTACAATGTATTTTAATAAGTACTTATACTAATATAATATCTATATAATATAGTCACTTGTCAAATAGTACAGTGGGGACATACGGTTTTGAAGTTACTCGACCCAAAGGAGCTGAAGCTTCGGCCCACAAGACCGTAAATTTCGAACCCGATTCGTTTCAGAATAAGAACCCGATTCTAAGTCTCCGGCAGTGAACTTTGCACAAGTTCACCCGCGAGCCGCATCTGTCAGACTCAGCTTGGATCTGAGGACGGCACGCCTCAACAATGGTTAGACGTTCTTCGCCAACTTGTTCGCTGCAACTTCTTTCTTTCTACCCTCGGTTTCGCTGTTATTTGTTTTCTGGAATTATGTTTGTTTTGATCTGCACTCTGTATCTGTTTCGGCTCTTCTCATTTTGATAGTTTCCCCATCAGTCGTAATGTATTAAGTTTTACTGCATGCACTTGGATACTTGGTCGTGCCAAAATTTTCTTCTTTGGGTTTTGGATGCTATCCGCTAGTGTATATTGGTATTTATTTGAATGGAATCTGTTGTACATTATTATGATATGAGCCCTGGCTTTTAGTGTTTCATGAATTATTGGGTGCCCGAAATTTATCTGGAGGCAAGGTGTTTCTCTTTCCTGTTCTAGAAAGATTATAATATTGTGATGTCTTGGTTGCCAACTTTTTTTTTTTTTTTGTGGCAATGTTTGTGTTCATTCTTTCCTCCTCATACTTTATTGGCTTGATATAAATTGTCTGAAGCAAATTTGATGTTATGGCTTCTTGATTTCAGCGTTCCTATGTTGCAATTATTTGCTTTCCCCTGCTTTTGGAGTGATTTAAACTGTTAATGTGCGATATAGAATTATAACATAATACATGTACCATACGAGACAATATGTTGCTTCAAGAAAAGTTAATGAAGAATGGGGGGGCTCAAATTCTCTCTTAACGTGCTCCCCTTTATCTCTTCCCCTTGATGTTGGTGATGGTTTTCATTGAATATTCCTATTTTGGGGCGATGATCAAGTATCTTGATATTTTAATCTATGAATTCTGAAATTTTGTTTGTTTGTTCTATTCACCGTGTTTAATTGTTTGAGACCATTTAGTTGCTATAAGGTGTCTATCATCATCATCTGTGCCCCTAGTATTCTAATTTGTATATCTTCTTTTTCATTTCAGGCTAGAGGGTTAAAGAAACACTTAAAGAGGCTCAATGCGCCAAAGCATTGGATGCTTGACAAGCTGGGTGGTGCCTTTGTATGTACATGAATAGAAATCCTTGTTTCGGCAATCCTGTTTCACTTGTTTTAATTTGTGGCATCCAATCAAATTGTGCTTACTGCCATGGTTGTGCAGGCACCCAAGCCGTCGTCTGGACCTCACAAGTCAAGGGAGTGCTTGCCTCTTATCCTTATCCTGCGAAATAGGTTGAAGTATGCTCTCACCTATAGAGAAGTTATTGCCATTTTGATGCAGCGCCATGTTCTGGTTGATGGCAAGGTTAGGACAGACAAGACATATCCTGCTGGTTTCATGGGTATGTGCGTCCAAACAGGATGGCCTCACGGGATATCTAAATTATTATGTCAAAATCATTTTTGGTTTGAGTATTTTCCAATATTTTCACTTTTATGGTTCTTTTAGGCTGCTCTAAAATTCTTTATGAAACAAATTATTGTCCACCTGTTGTTAATATTGAGCAAATTGGAGTTGACTCTCTAGTCATTAATTTTAATGAATCCAAGGCTTTGATGTAGCATTTTTCAACAGTGACTTAATTGTAGCTCACTTTTTACTGTTACCAGATGTTGTGTCCATTCCCAAGACCAATGAAAATTTCCGTCTGCTATATGACACCAAAGGTCGTTTCCGTCTCCAGTCTATTAGGGACGAAGAAGCAAAGGTCTGTTCTTGTTTGTACCTTTTTTTCGTTTATTAACTACAATAATAAATAGTTTATATTTAGTTGGTTTGATGAATGATTCATATGTACTATACCCAATTAAAATTACTGATGCTTTTTAACCAAATGGAAAACAAACTACTGATGCTTCGGACCCTGCTGAAAAGAGATCTATAGTTGGATAGACAAACTTGGGTTGGTTAAGCATGCGTTTTGGTTGATTTTGTTCAATAAGGTGTCATCACTCCCAAGTTGAACTCAAGACATGAAAGATGAAAACAAATTGCTCTCACCAACAAGTCACAGGCTCAAATGACGGAGGTGACCCTTAAATCAAGGGTGATTCTAGCAGGACGTATTAGTGTCACTTGTATATCTCGTCGAATGGATTTTACCAACTGCTATTAACAACTTGTGCCTTTCATTTCACATGCCTCTTTTCATTTTAGTTCCGTAGATTCTTTTTCAAAATTGATCTTATAACAGGATCTTGGTTTTTCAGTTCAAGCTTTGCAAGGTACGATCAGTTCAATTTGGGCAGAAGGGCATACCCTATCTTAACACCTATGATGGGCGCACCATCCGCTATCCTGATCCCTTAATCAGGGCTAATGACACCATCAAACTGGACTTGGAAACTAACAAGATCACTGATTTCATCAAGTTTGATGTGGGTAACGTGGTCATGGTGACTGGAGGAAGGAACAGGGGTCGTGTTGGTGTTATCAAGAACAGGGAAACACAAAGGCAGTTTTGAGACCATCCACGTCCAGGATGCAACTGGTCATGAATTTGCTACACGTATGGGGAACGTCTTCACAATTGGCAAAGGTACAAAACCTTGGGTTTTCTCTTCCTAAAGGCCGTGGTATCAAGTTATCTATCATTGAGGAGGCTAGAAAGAGGCTGGCTGCTCAACACGAGGCAACTGCATAAATTTGACTACATGATCTTGTTGGACAATTTAGCTGTTGGATTGTCTTTAAAGACAGCTCTGGTGCTTTTAAGAATAGTTTATTTCATAAGCCAACAAAGAATTTTGAATTGGCGTTATGTGATCTTCTGAGTGACGCATTCTATATTTTAGGCCGTTTCTATATTGCGTTACAAGGCTTTGGCTGTACGGGTGGTTTTTGTGAACCTTTTTTTTCCTTTTCATGGTTAAAAAACTACGTTTTTTCATAGTGATTTTTTGATGATTTGCTGATTGTAGATAACATGAGCTATTGAAAACGCATATTGCTCTCGAATTTTTTGCTCTCCCCTGCAAATTAGCCGTGATTAGATTAATTTCATTGTGCATTAGTAGCTCCGGTTCTTAATATAAGAACTATTTGGGAATTGTATTTTTTTCTAAGTATAAAACCTTATTTATTCTGTCTCTTAAACTTGTAATTTATTTTTTGAAATATTTCTTTTTATTACACCTATAAAAAAGTTTTCATCTAAGAGTAGTTATGATTAAAAAAATATTTTAAAGAATTTGACTCATAATTGCTATAAAATTTTAATTTACTCTATCTCCTAAAATAGTAATTTATTTTCTAAAGTATTCTTATCATTACACGTATTAAAAAATTTTTCATCTAAGAGTAGTTATAATCAAAAGGATATTTTAAAAATTCAACTCTAATTATTATAAACTTTAATTTATTCTGTCTTCTAAATTAAATTTATTTTTTAAAGTATTCTTATTTTTATACATATAAAAAAAGTTTTCAACTATAATTGTTATAAATAACTAACTTAATAAATTTTTCTTAATCTACTCAAATTAATTAAGTAGCTCTTATATTAAAGAATGAGAGCACTAGATTAGGAGCTGTCTTAAAAAAATATGGTACAATGACACGGATATTTGTTATCTTAGGTTCTTCCTTGCAAATTAGCCATGACTAATGTGCCATATTTTCCCAGGGCAACTCATAATCTAATGCACGGCTAATTTGAGCAAAACCCCAAGATACTTGATTTTCATGATTATTACTATGCATTGTGTATTCGCCTGAGATCAGTCATTCACACAGAAGTGTGAGATTGGCTTCTTAAAATGAAACCATATAATGTTATTAAGTGTGTTTTATTTATTATTACATTATTAACTATTGATTATTG